TACTTCAGTATGCACCTAAACATCAACTGCTAATTTCTGGAGGGAGGAAGGGATATATCTGCATCTTTGACATCAGACAGAGGCAAATCCTTTATACCTTCCAAGCACATGAATCAGCTGTTAAGGCCCTTGCACTGGATCATTCTGAGGACTATTTTGTTACAGGCTCAGCAGAAGGTAACATGAAGGTAAGGTCTTGGAGGAGCTCAGTTGTATGGGAGAGTATTTAGCTGAAGTACTGTACTGACACCTGTTGATCAGCATGCTGTAAATAGCCAGATGAATATGGTAACAAAGCAAAACAAACCCCAAAAACCCAAACCTACTTTTGATATACAGGATGCTTGCCTTATGTTTAGAATGTAAACTTCAATATACTAATATCCTTCTAAAGCAAGTAGGTTTTGTTCTCTGCTAATGAATTAAACGTCTTTTTGAAGTTGTGTGATTGAATTTTAAGTGGATAAAGTGCCTGATTCTGAAATCTTAGCTTTACTTTTCTCTCTTAAAAATGTTCTGGTTTTGCCTTTTGATACTTCTCTTTGTAATACAGGGGGCGCTCAGTAACTTCAACATTGTGTGAAGTTTCTGTAGCAACACGTTCTAGTTTTTCTTTTGATGCTGTAGCCCCAGACAGCTACCGAGATGTCATAGTAGTAAGAAACAAACAACTGGAAAAAACAAGAACACACACAAACAAAAAACCTCAACAACAACAAAAAAGAAACAGAAATGCAGTCCTGTTTTAAAGGGCATATTTCCTGAAAACTAAAGGAAGAAAGTACAAGAACATGGTAAAGAGAAGGAGAATACGGTTTCTTTCCTTTTAGCTGGACTGCATACTGTTTAAGTGCTTTCTGTGCTCCGCACACTTTGTGGCCTGCAAATTAGGACACGACAGACAGCTCAGACAGCTGTGCTACCACTCTGCACGCTTATTAATTACACAGCTTATTCTCCGCAGCATTCCTTAGCAGAAAAGCATTTCCAGCTGCTGGAAAGCTGACAATAGCCATCTGGGATGAAAATGGAACCTGTCCATTTCTGCAGCTTTCATGGAGGGGAAGCTGGGAGGGGCACTGCTGAGCAGGTAACACAGGGCAGCTTCACCCTGCCAAATAACCAGCTGGTCCACATTAAGGTAGCCTTAGCCTTACAGTATCTTGCCTTACACTTCATCAGGAGCCTCTCAAGACTCTTGGACTTGTTGTAATTGTTGCTAATAGATAACAGAAAATACTCCTTATCTTTGCTGAATAGGGTTTAGAACAGCTAGGAATCTGAAACTTTAGGGGAAAAAATACAAATCCTAATTTTTATCTCTTTTTGTCATTCTTTTCATGCAGGTGTGGAGACTGACTGGCTATAATTTAATTCATTCGTTTAAAAATGAACATGCTAAGCAGTCCATTTTCAGAAATATTGGCGCTGGTGTCACCCAGATTGAAACTGTGCAAGGCAATCGTATCTTCTCCTGTGGAGCAGATGGCACGCTGAAAATGAGGGTTCTTCCCAATGCTTTCAATGTACCTTCAGGCATTTTTGACATTCTGTAGCGTTATGTGAGCTAATCCTGGTTTTATATAATGTCCCTTTAAGTAGCTAAAAACACAGTGATATGCACTGTGGAAGGGAAACATTCTGTTTCCTTTCAAAGCAGTTACTGCAGCATTAAGTATTATGGGGAAAAAGATTTAAAAAAAAAAAAAGAAAAAAAAGAGAAAAAAAGAACAAAAACACATAAAACCAAAAACTCTTACAACAGGTATATTTTGAGTGTGCCCATAAGGATCACTGGGGTGGAAATGCATGTACTGATTGTAAAAGCAACGAATTAAACCCAGCAGAGTCAGTCACAGGCGGGGTCATTGCTCAGTAACCCAGAAGCTGCATTTAGTAAGTGTATTGTAAAGATTCTGACAATTGTCAGTCACTTAACAAGCACTGTGGCTCTACAAGTCAGTGAGCATTTCTGATATGATTCTGATTATTTTTATTCCAGTTTTTCCCACTAATTGAAGCATGTGTACAACTTCTCATTGTAAAATAGTTTAGTTTTAATTAAGGGTACTCAGTGTATTTGATTTTGGCAAGAAAGTGTAATGGATGCAAATGCCGTGGAACATGTGCAATCAAGAACGTACTGTGAGACGTATCATTTTATGCTGAGATTTTTTTCCCAGTTAGTATTAATACACAGTTGATACTGTAACTTGCACACCAACACATTTTTTAAATGCAATGGTTTTTAATTTGCACACTATTTTCCTTTCTTTCTGACAGCTATGTTTTCTATTGGATACCTGCCTTTACTTTAGGAATGTATTGTAAGCACTAAGTGTTTGTAGTGAAGACATCCATGGTTCTAGCCAGCTTTTAGGTTTGAAATTCATTTGTCCAGAAAATACTTCATTAAATGAAGCTGTTAAGAGAATACCAATGGAACATACAATGCCACATTTCAGATGAATGTCAGGCTTTATGTGGCCAGCTAGTAAATAGTGGATAAAACTGGTAATTAAATTATTACCACATATATTGTATAAACTATGCAGAGTTCAATATTGTTTGCTTGTAATATAACTAGCTACTGTTGTCAGATGTATTTTTCTGTTGTAAACAAAAAACATGTTCTTAAGAGACTGGAACGGATGTCTGCGTATTTAAATGTTAACAAACTGTCTTATTCCTCCAATTAAAATTTTGATGTCTGTGCTGTATTGTAAAATACACTAGAATAAAAAGCACCTTTCTCCAAAGGTGATTTTAAATTGCAGGCTGTGAAGTACGAAAAGAAAGAAGAGTAAATGTCATTGTTTAGTTTTCCCTTTGTAAGTTAAATAAATTACTTTTATTTCATGGAACAGTCCATACCAGAACTCTTCCTTATATTTAAATAGATTTAACTAAACCTCCAGCAGATTGACTGGATACTGCCTGAGCTAGCTTTAACTTGACCTCAGGCTGTACTGAGATAAAAAGGATTAGCTGTTTGCATTTTATTTTCACCTGTCCTAGAAAACCATAAGGTTAACAGAATTTAGTTCCTCATCTCCAACAAAGTCAGCTGCAAGAAACACAGCCTGGTTCTGTCACCAAGAAAAGAGGCAGAATTTGCTGGCCTCCTCCAAGAGGTTGGTCCGAGTGGTTCAACAATGACATTCAGAAATTTAACATGATTTAAGATAGGCACGTTATCTAGAAACTGTCACATCTGGCTTGAACTGTATTTGCCTAAGTATATTGCCAAGCTTTGGGTTTTTTTTTTTAGCCAAAATGTCTATCTTATTAATACCATAATTCAATCTTTTTAAAAACAACACAACAACAACAAACTCCACAAAAAAACTTACCAACCAAAAAAAAAAAAAAAAGAAAACCCCCACACCCCACAAAAGTCAAGAGGCCCACATACACAAAACTGTAGCTCTAGACTGTGAAGTTCTGCTCTCTTTATGGGTATAGATAGAATTCTTGGTATATAAGTTTTGATGAATATACTAGTTCAAAGTATTTTTTATGCTTTTTTGTGTCCCTCTGTATCCTACTCCTTCACATGCAAGGCCTGAATCCTGGCCTTAGCGAAGCCAGCAAGTATGCTGAGAAGAGAGGATGCTGCCGCTGCCCCAGCCCAGCCATCGCTGCGTCACACACAGAAGCCTAGCTGCAGCAGAGGTCTTTTTGCAGCACATTTGCTAGACGAGGTTCTGCAGGCCTAGACATTCCCAAATTCATTAATCCCTTAGATGGTGCCTGGATGTCACAGAGGTATTAAACAGCTCAGTGCAATTCAGGGTTTAAGTGATACTTTGCCTCTAAATATTTGGATAAGCTCTGTGAACTTTATTAATGTACATGGGCAGCTTAGAAATTCAGGTAGGGGTTTCCTGAGAGCATGATTTTGAATACAGATACACAAAGCAGTGTTTCAGTGCCAAATATGGAAATCTGAAATACCAGAACAAAATTAAAATCAAAAAGTTCCTATTGTTTCTCACCTCTAGCTCTCAAAAATTTGAATGTGAATGGGCAATCTCTAAACTAAAAACAAGTCACTAAGCACTATGATGAATACATGCATTCCTGGTCGAGATATTTTATTTTTCTAAGAATAGCAGCAAAAAAGTATACCCTTCATTTTATGATTTCATTTGTATGGATGAACATGGGGAAATTTTTTTTTAGAAATATATCTTACTATAATTTAGTGTAGTTAGAAGCAAGTGGTATAGTTTGCATGGCAGTGAGGGGCAACGGAGTCTGCAACACAAGCAACTCAAAATACTTTAAAAAGAGAATTTTAATCACAAATTTTACATCTTCTCTTCAATTTTATACCTTTTTTTTTTCCCATGCTCCATTTACTAAATACAATTTCATGTATATTCAATAATGCCATTATTCCCATTTTCCTTGTACTTGGGCTGGATTTTGCTTTTGATTATGTAACAGTTCACTGGACTTGTCAAATTTGAAGCTTTCTGCCTTTTTTCTATTTAAACAACTATTTCCAACAGCTGTATATCTTTGTCCAAAAAAAAGAAATGTTCACAGAGAATCAGTGGAATGTATTAAGTGAAAGCGACAAAGGTATTTGTATGCAAAAGTTCATTATTTAGACGCTTATACTAGACCATAATCACTGACTAGAAAATGATTGCAGCTAAGATGATTGCAACGGAAAGTTATAAATAGTCTCTGCTGAACACATGACCATGGAATAATCAATGTACATTAGATACAATTATCGGCTGAACAACAGGGGAAAAACAAAAGCAAGTCTGTGCTAACTGTTTACCAGCTGCAATATTGAACAGCTATATTCTTTTAAAAAGATGAGAATGGCCTATATAAATTGAAAGGCGCCCGATCTCCCTTTTAGACACACTCACAAACCACTATCCGTGAACAGAAAATTACACCAAGTGAAGACACCCCCATGTGTGTATCATACGGCTTTAAATAATCTATTTAGTCAAACATGGCTCCCATACATGACATTTTAAAATATATTCATCTGCCAAAATGTACAGGGTATACCATTAAGCTCCCATTCTCCCACGTGTACAAATTCTTATCTCTTAGACTGTATGAAAGCATAGCAAGAACAGACTGTGAAGACCGTAACTCAAACCTTGCATCAATCTGCTTCTCTTTCAGTAAATCAAAAGCAAAACTTACTGTCATATCCTTAGTATCAGTAACATACATAATGCCACATGCTATGAATGCGTTACCAGCCTTGGACTTAGGATATGTAGTATTGATATGCCGAATGACTGAAAACGTTTCTTCATCGATACGTGCTACTATTATATTTTCGTCAGTGCTTGAGGCATATATAATCCAAAGACCCTTCTCATCCACTGCTACGTTGAAATACGTCTTCGAGTTAGCAAACAGGTAGTTACGACCATGATACAAGGCATTTTCAATTAGCAGTGTGCCCAGCGATGCTTTATCAAGCCCAAGTCTGAAATGAGATAAAGTATTCAGTACGTTGTGTTAAAAATTCATTTTTATACACTCCGGTTGGTTGAATTAATTCAGAGAGCATTATTACTGATAGAAGCGCTGTTGAAAATACTTGAGTTCAAGGACCATTCTGATGTCTTTTAAGATTAAGTACTCCACTCAGAGCACCTTCCAAAACACTAGGAGAAAATTCCAAAGTAATAACCAATCTAAAAGGTGCACAAGAGCATGAACTCGCTTTGGTAGGTTTCACTTTATTTAGTCTATGAGCTTTATTATCACTAGGATGAAAGCAGCAACAAAAAGGAATGGGTATGAAGAAGAATTAGATGCCAGGCAAAGGCCCAAACTTGTGAAATTAAATCCATACAGTTTGCTTTCTACTAGGTGGGAACTAAACAGAGAAAATGCAATTGACGAAACCAGCATGAATTCTGGGCAGGTTCACCTAGTCTTAGAGTTCCTCTTTTGAAAACAGTTCAGATAATGCAGTGATTTGCTCAAGTAAACATCAAAGGAATAAAAATCCTACTTTTGCAGAGCTGATATTCTGACCTCATGCTGGCCTCCAGCAGGACAGCCTGAATTTCTCATCTTAAATGTATAAAATTGTTTTTATTCCTCTGAATTCCTTAATAGGATGATAATCTGAGGACAGCAGTATTGAGCAGCTAAATTGCTGCTTTAAGAGGAGGTAATCAGCTACTATCAAGACACATTTGCAGTTAGCATTTAATCACTGAATAATGCAGTGCTTTAGCAAAGGCAGAGAAAGTATGCTTTATCTTTTTAAGTAATGCCTTCTGTAACAAAGCACATTTCATTGTCTGGCTTCTAGCCAGCTATATAGCTCTGTTCCTCAAATAGAGGAAAAACATTACTCAATACAGGAATCTGCTATGGTTACAGTAGTTTTCTGAAAAGACAGGCTTAATGATAGGGACATTTCAGATCCAGGAACTTACAATGGAAGGAAAAACACCGTAAGAATAATTTTTCTGTGAAAGAGGCATTGGTAGCTTATACTGGAAAAATCATCCTAAGAAAAGTCAGGAATGACTAACTAGATGATTCTCCTCAGCTTTTGTAAAACTCATGTCTGCAGCAACTCCATATTCCAGCAGCACGTGTGTGCAAAAAAAAAAAGGCTTCAAGGCTAGAGAAGATTTCTGAGAAATGTGTGTGTCAACCCAGTTAATCTTGTTAGTTGCTTCACGTTTGTAAATAACCTCATGCAAGGGCAAGGTCTAGAAGGACGGCCCTAGGCAGGAATAGTCACATAGAAATGCAGTTTTTCTTCAGGATTTTTTTCTATGAAGAGCCAACAAGATAAAAACCATCTCGAAGCTTCATTTGAAACGTGCAAGAACGGCAACACAGAACACCCTGTCTTTTTTATGTGAAAATCCAGAAGGGAGCAGAAAAGTGAGGTTTCATTCCTGAGGTCCTCTTCTGCTCCCCCAGTTAAGGACAGTCTAGCCTAGAACTCCAGGTGGTTACTCTTCTGGCACCTTGGGGTAACTGACAAGATACAGTGTGATATTTTCATCAACCACACAGAACTCAAGCTACAAACACTTTTCTGATCGCTAAGATGAAGTCAACCAAAAACAACAGAGGTGGGAAACCATGTTATGAAACAAAGGAAGAAAGGATAAAGCAATCACAATGTCTGGGATCTGACCATCATAAGAAAACCTGCTGAAGGTCAGATAAACCTGTCAGATTTACCAGCTTTTAAATCTGACAGGAAACACCTTTTAAACATTTGCAAAATGAACCAACCAGGTCCTCACATGTTCTTTCCATTAAAACAATACAAGAACTCCCAGAAGTTTTTCTGCAGCCCAAAATCAAGGACTTCACTGCTACAGAATTCATAGTGCCTCATTCTACCTGTGCTGAAGGTAAATAATCTTGCAGTGAATAACTGAAGAGAAAGGCCATCTCTCAGCAACTTCTTATAGAGGTTTTCAAAATTCCACAAATTGCTTATGCTCATCTGTACATGAAGGCATTTCCCAATTAATGGTGCCCAAGCAAAGGTGGGGAACCTCTGTCCTATGACTCTGTATTGCGTAGACAGAGATGGTCTTTTACAGATGTATAAACAAAAAGCCCTAAAGATATTTAAAGGAGGTTGCCAAAAAGAGGGCTTGTCTTTGGCAGAATAAATATTATAGAGCCCAAGCAGCTTGCTCACATTCCTTGGCATCGAAATGAATACAGGAAGGCAGCACTCACACCTGCTTGGGAACAGACATCAAAGTATAGTAATCTTCTTGGCTCAAACATCAGAGTCACATAAGACAACTTGAAAGCAGATGCAATCTTTCACTTGCCCTTGGACTGTCTTTCTTTGGCTCTTCCCACAAGATGAGATTTCGGTTTTGATTTGTATTGTCTGTCTCTGTCCTCAGTAGAAACTGAAGAAATAGAGATGTAATGCCCAGTTCCAGTTCAGGGAGATATATCAGGAGAGTTGTAGGAACTTCTTATTACGAGGAAATCAAACAGCAGAGCCACTCCTCCACAATGGAATGTGCAATTCACCAGGTCGCCATGTCCTCAGCTGGTGCCTTGGTGCACTCCTCTGCCCTAGCGGCGTTAACTCAACCCCTACCAGCTACGAACAGCACTGTTCAAGAACAAAGCACGTGCATCAACCCAGCAAGAAGCTCTGGAAAGCCAAGTTCCATAAGTGAGCTACAGTCATACAACCACTCACCTGTGTCCCCCAAACTGCAGCTGAACCAGTTCTTATTTTGATGCAGGGAGATGCACAGCTTATTTTTGTAAATCAAATACTTTATTCTGACCCCTGAATTCCTAAGTCAGTTCTCATTTCTTTCTCGCAATTACGAACACAGGAAAGAATCCAAGTGCAAGAACACCCCCAGCAACCCCAGCAATGTAATGCCTAAGAGAAACCCCCTGGACCCCAGGATAGCCAAAAGAAAAATCTATTGCCACCTCTGCACATGGCACCTTGTTAATCTGGAGGCTGAGTTGTCCCATCATGTAGTAACTTCTCAGGTTAACCACTTAGACACAGAGCTGAATAATGCTTAAAGTACTGACTGTAACAGCGGAGTGATGGACCTGGACTACACTCAGTTCCTCTTCTCCTACAGCACCTGCACACACAGATGGAAGGCCAGCGGCCCACCTTCTAGTTACAGATTGGAAAGAATTAGTTGTTCTGTTCTGGAAAGAATTCTGAACCATTCCTTCGTTCTTCCTATTCTAGATAGGACCAAAAAGAAACACAAAACAGCACAAGGAAAGTGGTCTGCTTTTCTGAGGTTCACCTCTGTCACTCTAACCCATTGTTCTTTCCTCCACAACATCACTCGCCTTAAGCCAACTATGTTTGACTTACTTCAGTATGACATTGGTTCCTCCCTTTTGATAGTACAGATGATTGTTTTGTACGGCATGACCACATCCATAAAAGAAGCCTGTGATGTTAATGATCCTGTAGCTGTCATTCAGCAAGGCATTAGAATTCTCATACTCTTTTATAGAGTTTCCTAAATGAAGGGGAAAACATGAAAGAAAGAACTGTCATTAAGTTCATCTAATTTTGAAATCTATGCCCTAAAATTCAATCTCTGCTGAAAGTCAATCTCAGTCAAATATCCAACAGATAGCAACTGTGTTTTCAATAGTGATTCAACTTGCTGGAATGTGAAAAAATAATCCAGAGACCAACACAAAAAAAAAAAAAAAATAAAATCAGTCTATAGAGGTGGGGTTCAAGGGCTTGCTTCCCACAGACTTGATGGGTCCTAATTCTGAACACAGTTAGCAAATATACAGAAATACTTCTTTTTTCCACTTAGGTCCTGGAAATTTACCCGCACTAAATGTAGCTCATGCAGCATCCGAGTCATTTTCGTGCCTAGCTAAACGAAAAGGCAAAACTCCTAGAATCAATTTAGGGAAGTAAAGCCATAGGAAACCATAGAAAGAAAAGAATACAAAGGCATGAACAACAGGCATTTAAATTCGGATTGGTTAAAAAACCTAAAATCCTCAAACTATTTTCACAATCTGATGTTGATTCTGAAAACGTCTAAAGACGCTACAAAAATGTCTATAACCATATGTATAGTCAAGTATTATACAGATAATACAGAAAATATTCTGAAAAAGATGTGGGTAAGAAACCCATCATTCTTGATTAGAAATATTAGTTTAGGTTGAAGGAATTAAGAAAGCAACGTGAGCATAACTGATTTTTAAGCAGCGACTACTACTAGTGTACCTGAAAAATGCATAGTAAGCCAAATCCTTTCATCACTTATATTTGCAGGTTCCCGCATCCAAGTTCCAAAGGTCTGCTGTACATTGACAAAGTGAACTGGACTTCCTACAGATGTTATGACACATTCTAGAAGAGAAAAAGCACATGTCCATTATCTGTGACTTTAAAACAGTAAGTTGCAGTTAGTCACGCTCTGTAGCAGGTTACCAGCTTTTTTTGAAGGACCAGGGATTCTGTCTTCAGCTTTTCCAGCCAGGGTATCATCATTCGGTATAGCACATGTCTCACCTAGAGTTGTGAGAGAAAGGGTAAAACATGTCATTTTTCTGTATCTGACATGACAGATGTGCACATCAGTGACTCCACTAAAATAAAGGAATGACAACTGGGATTTTGTTTCATCTGGGGAAAAAAAGCTTAGGTTGGTCTGGTCAAAAAATAAGATGAAGAAAAAAAAAGACTTGCTCTCACTTCTGCCAAGGAAATGAAGTGTTCAGGCTGGTTTGTTTCCTTAAAGTTGTCAGGCTGACAGTCAGCTTTCAGGAGTAACTAATTTTGCTCAACAGATTTAATTCCTTAGCTGTGAATTTCTGAGTAGCTGCTTAGAAAGTTGCCGCTTTCCTCAGATAACTTTAGACAACTGAGATAACTGGCAGCTGGCTGAGTTAGCAGTAATACCAAAAATGCTTTCTTAGGAATGAGTGACAGCTAAACTCAAAAGCTTCATGCCCACATCTACATACACCAGCAGAAGGGCTGTATTCTGTCGGCAACACTGGAAGTTTCGCTTGTGCTGTTAATGCCCCAGACAGTAATGAAGTACTAACACATACACTGAGCACGTAAGAATGCAGGTTAGTCATCCATGCCATTAAAGAAGAAATATGAAAGACTAAGGGAAATTGTACACTGTATTCCTTACACGCATAGAAATGGTTGACATTAGAAACACATAAACACCTGTGGAAACATTTTTCCCCACCCCTCAACAATTTGGAGTAACTGGTTGGGTTTTCTCTTAGCATTTACTGTTAATGCCTGAATGGAATTATTAATGGACCTTTTTCTATAAACCCAGATACCTCTTCTGCCTTTAAAACAATGCAACACATTTCAGTTTGCTTAGAATTAATAACCACAGAGAACAGTTCTCAGCTTTTTGCTGAAGATACCCTGATTTCATTGTAGCCTTGTTTTCCAGTTCCATTCTTAACTTTCATCTCCTTACGTATTTCACACTGCTTGACATGCAGGCTGAAAATTCGTTTGGAGGTGCATTTTTGTTGTTGCCTTCCAATATATTTCTGGGATTTACAGGGCTGTGATGAAGTTTAAATGAGAAAGATAGTAAAAATATGAAATAACTATAAAGTATGCTGAAAGGGTACTGTGACATTCAGGAAAGAAATGACAGATCATGCCGCATTGTTGGTTTCTCCTTAGGTTATATCCTCTTTTTGTTCATGCAGAAGGAAACGACTCCAAGATAGAGCAACAACACGTATTTCTCCCACACATTTATCTAGGATATTTGGTGATACGATGTTGAAAGTTTCTAAGTGATCACTGCGTATCTCCAAAATAAGACACAGTCAATCCAGCCATGAGAAGATGAACGCCTACAGCTAGAAGCTAGCAATCACTCTAGATCCCTTTCCAGCTTCCGATCTCAAAATATTGTAAAAATACCTCAAAAAAGGAACCCACTAAGCAGAAATTTTATAAGTTGCAACGCACAATTTAATTTTCTTGGGCTGAGTCTAGTAGATACAGTTAACTGAATGAGCCGTCCCCTATACAGTAGTTTACCTAAGACTATAGAACAGTCAAGGACCAGGTCAGTGTTTGTAGTGAAGCCGAGTGCACTATTTACATCTGAGAACATTTGCAATATTCTCTGAGGACTTTCAGCTGCATGAAATAGAAAGCAACTAAGATTAAAAAGACAGTTTTCAATCAGAGACTCTTATGTGAAATTTTCACTGCTTGCTTTCCACCAAAAAAAGATAAATATCCTACTGATTCCTATCATAAAATATTCTGGCTGAGAGTTAATGGAGTTTACAAGACATTAAAAATTATTGATTTGATCTGTCTGGGTAAAGTGGGAAGGATGGAGCGAGGGATTGTGGAGCAGGGATGTTTTGTTTCTTTTAGAATTGGCTAACAGTACCATTGAGAACAAACACACTTGAGCTTCCAACTAATTATTCTCTTCTCTTAAAGAAATAAAGTTTTACTTGATTCCAAATTTAATTTAAAGAAACCATTCTTGTATTTTTATGTAATAAGTTAATTACAGTTGTAAATCAACATGTGTATTCTCTTCAAAGGGATATGAATACTTAATTACAAAAGCTGTTTTGTTCTTTGAATTTTGGTAATAAGATCTCACAGCCTACTGACTCATAAAACATAAATGCTCATTGAGGAAGACCTCATCTTTGCAGAGTTATTTGAGTATAACTCCCATTTGCACACTGGTATTTAAAATCCATCAGAAATCCATCAGATAACTTACCCTCCAAAGCACTTCAGTCTGTTTCAATGCTTGAAAAGAGGCTACCTGAGTAAATGGTCCAATTATATCTTGTACAACACTTCATGCATTTCTGAATTTCAAATAGGATGAGAATTCTGCTCCAGCTATCCACTTTCCATTGTAAGGAGACTCTTTGGGCTCTGTTCTGATACTTCAATACCCAGAATCTCCTGACTGAGGTTCCTACATGCTACTACAATTACATGCTACATTAAAAATAAGATGCAGAAATAATTGATATATGTTCCACCCAGTATTAAATATTCACTGGTTAATAATATTTATTATAATTTTTTTAAAAAAAAAAGATTTTTCATCTCAGCAAACTGTGCAGAATGATGGTGACATAAAAACATATCACCCTATTAATGGTGAGACATACAAATTGCTCTGCTTGTTCCACACTTAGTAACTGCACTTGTGCTATTCCGTTTTGGTATGCCTATCAAGAAACTACATTCCCAAGTACAAAAGAAATCCCACTTTACTAAACACTGTCACAGATAACTCTCTTCTTTTCCAGAAATGAAAGATTAGTAACCGAGACATCCTTTGCTATTCTTTTATAAGATCACACCCTGACCTCCCTGGAAAGAGGTATCTCAGCTGGGAGGAAAATTCATCCCAGAATTGCAAGGGTAGCAACAGTCACTGAAAGCCGCAACCATCTCAAATGCAATGCCATCCAGGGGTAAAGGGCAAGGGCAGCCAGATCGAACATGTAGATCCAAACCAAAAGTTTGCTTCCATTCTCAGGCTGGAGTAAGCTAGAAAGACAAGTTCTTGCAGCAGTTTCTCTTTGCTTTCCATAATCAGCTAATACCTTGAACCAAAATTTTCCGGTTATCGCAATACCACAATGTTTGTAGAACCCATGTTCCCGAGCATACAAATCACCAGCTCCTCTCATCTTCTACTGCTAATTCTGCACTGGCCAAAAAAAGGTTCTCCTTTTCCGCTATGCAGAAATTGAAATGCAAGACTCAAAACGAGATTTTTTTTTTTTTGGAGAGTGTGTTTTCAGGAATGTACGGTAACATTTTTGGCCAAAATTTTCAAAGTCCAGCAACTTCAGACATCCATCATGAAATACTTTTAAAACATGGTTGCTGATTTTCAGAACAAAATGAGTAAGAACATCCTTCATTTCCAAGCACCAGCCTTCCCAACCATGCCCACTCCCCCCACCCCCATGTGCCTGAACTGGCACTGAAAAGCATTAGAAAAATCAAACCCTCATTTATTACTGCTAATTCAAACCAGAATTGTTTAGAGAAAATGTAAAGTTGATTACAAAAGTTGCAAATATTTTCAGTCTTAATGTCCCTGTTAACCTTTCAGAAGCTATTCTCACTCAAACATGCAAAAAGAAGTTCAAGCCTATCTGAAAAAAACAGTTTAAAATGAAATTTTCTATGATAAATATAAATATCTGTAAAAATATAGTAAGAAATGTGTTTACTATAGGAGAGATTTAGAATATTAATATAGTCCTTGGTATCACATTGACACCAACACTTTCTTCCACAAAATATGCTCAGTACACCATGCTGTCAATGTATTTACAAATACAGCAGAGTACTTCCAACCAGTCACCTGCAGGAGGAGGAGGTAGATGCCGACTAACTTTAGATGTGCTCCACACAGCAGAGGCAGCACTTTACTCATTAAAAAACACACATGGGCACACACGCGTGCACACACACACACGTGGATCTTATCTGAGGCACAATTTTAATCTATTGGAGAAAAAGATCTTCTAAAACATAGAAGTTGTGACATGAAACACTGACATGATCTTTCAATAACCCACAATATCAAGTTAAATCTGTGAGGATTTACTTGTATCCAGCACACCTGAAAATCATCCCAGAGATATCTCATGGCAAAGTCTTAATTATGTCAGCACCTTAATCAGTGACTCAAAAAAAAAAAAAAGTGTAGCAGCTGCTATACTTCAGCATACAGTCTATGACCTGGCAGTCTGGATGCTCGTATTTTGGTTCTAACAGTATCTGCTGTCCAATTTGCAGCCACAGTTTGAAGGGAACCTACTCTGTCTTTAATTTTTCCTTTCTGAATATTAGAATTAGTCATATATCTCACCAACACAGCTACAATAAAGGAAATAAAAGGGACTCATGATCCACCCGTCATTAGGGATACAATAATGATAAATAGCGACACTGGAAAAGAACGCAAGAACCCTGCTCCAAAATGTACATATTCAAATGGACACAAAGTCTCAGAGAATCCTTTTGTATTCCTCCAGCTTTTCAAAGTCTTAGCTAGTTCAAGCTCGCTCCAGCTCTGCCAATGACCAGGCAATTTCATTCTGTAGAATACAGTGAAATGTATCCTGGTTAACAGGTGTTATATTTACATGTAAAATTCAAATTCAGCATTTAAAAGCTAAAAATTTCAACTGCATTTCTCTTACTTTCTAAATATACCCCATCTAACAGAAAACAGCACGTGTAAATATTTTGCCTGAACATTAGCACAGCATGATCAAAAGACTATTATACAGGAGATAGCTTGCTGCCCTATCCAAATTAAATGTCAGCAAAACACCTAAAACACACGCTTAGCTTTAAGTTTGTGCAGTTTTACTGATCCCAGCAAAATTAAACATGTGCTGTTTTGTAAGACTTGGAGCAATGGGTTTAATCTTGACCCTGTTTATAATCCTAAAAAAAGCACTGGAAAGAACTAACCTGTGCATTTGCTGCTGTATATGTTCTCCTGAAGGCGTGCTTTGCCTTTACCTTTACGTTTTCCTGGAGGCCCTGGGGGTCCAGGTGGTCCAGGGGGCCCTGGTGGTCCAGGTTCACCTTTTGCACCTACGTACAAAACAGAGTACAATGTCACAGGTCCTGTAGGCAACAGGCATCTGCAGAGAACTGTACGTGTCCATGTGATGGACTTTGAGAGATCTCTACAACAGCCTCTCTCATCTTAAGAGGTCTCTGCATACAGGAGTATGGTGCAATAAACTCCCTGGGTTGCTGTTTGTTAGAAAGTGAACCATACAGAACTTCACAAGTTGTAGACATCAATGCAATTTATCTGTCTGGATTACAGGCACATGAGAGAGCTATAAAGCACTGTTGCCTTTTACTTACTGTATTCTAAAACCTCAACTTCAGATGCTATAGTGCTATAATTTTACACGGCATGTATTTGTGGCTGCTTCATGTATTCCTGAGTAGAAATCTGCCTCTCATTTTCGGATAGAAAAAGAAAACTACACTGCAAGAAAGAGCAGGAGGAGGTCAGCTGTCTGGAATTGTACTGGAACGGGTAGAATTCATGTACACCTCAACCCAAAGCCCAAGCAGAATTTGCATTGAAAAGAGAACATAATCTCCTGGGCAGAGCAATACTCAAACTTCATTGTGGGTAACATGTTTATGCTGTTTGGTCCGATTCTTGCAAATCACATTCATGCTTCAGAAGCAGAGTATATCTTTTTCTGTCAAGTACACTGTTGCAAGAGAGCCCCTAAGAGCACTTCTTCCTACCTTCTAATATCACATCGTTGTTTGCATCCCCCTTTTCACCCTTTGCTCCTCTTGCACCTTTTCCTCCTGGCATACCGTCCCTGCCAGGTAAACCCATTTCTCCAGGTTCTCCTTTCTGTCCTTGATCACCTTTTGGTCCTGGCACACCTAGAAATAAAACGCATTCCAGTACCAAGAACACTGTTCCAGTATTGAGCGTCAATCAATACTTTTATTTTAATACAAAACATATTCACGCCAGTTGTTTTTTTCACCTGTCGTAGTGAACTGGGTAGCTGTAAATTGTTCTGACTTCAAAACAACATTGTAACCTAATATGAAGGGAAACTGTACAATCCGTTTGGTGCAAATATGACATTCTTTACCTAGCGATCTCCGAGTTCTGAACTGGAAATACACAGGCCTGGGCCTCATTAACACTGGCTGGAGAGTTTCTGGGTAAGTAGGAATACTAAGGGAAGATGTGAAGTAATATATTTATTTCACATTTGTAAGGCATTAAAGAAGGACATTTTCATGGTTCTTGTAGACTTTTTCTTAAAGTAATTTCTTAAAGGAATTATGCACTAACATTACAACACACCCTGCACTTCTCACGTTTTCCACTGTCCCAACAGAGCATAGATACAGCTGCCTAGTAACATTTTCACATGGCCACTATAACCCTCCCTCTACACTTGTTAGAAGCATGATCAGTCCACGTACTTCTTGCACTTTATTATTTAGTAAAGTAACATATTTAATGAGGTATTCCTTTACCTGTGTGATTTAGTGTTGCAATAAGGAAAACAACAGCATGTTTGTACAACTGACTCATCAAAACCTTGCACCCTCTACTTTTGTGGCAGTTAGTATTTTCTTGCTTTAGGAGAGAGAAACACAACAGTTGTACAAATAGCAATGCCAGTGTTCTTGCAGGCGTAGGTTTCAAATAAATTACATTTGTCAATACTTGAGAAGAAAATGCTTGTTTTTCTACTTACGGTTTTACTATTTAAATGGATTTTGTGAAATCAGAAACAGAGTTACAGTTTTGAGGAGAAATCTGAAATGCATCTTTGGCACAATCGCCACCTGACTCTCTGAAGACTGGTTCTCACTTTCATTCCCAATTTCAAAAATTTGTTGAGGATACTGAAGTGACAGACCACATAGCGTCTCAAGATACAGTAGACAATTGTTCCACTTGTATGTGCGAGCAAGCCCACACAGCTAGGTGCAAAAGCCAGAATAAGAGATGGGCCACTATAAATACCAACCTGCTAACATCTGCCTGTCTACTCATCAACACACCCTTCCTCTTCTGTACCCCCTCTCAATTCTACCGTTCTGATACCCTTTTGACTCCTCACCCTCCTACCACGCAGAACTCGCTGCTTTCTCACTCTGCCTTGCAGGCACCAATTATCCATCCATGCTTGCACATTGCTGTTGTGCATCAGGTAAGTCAGTGGATAAATAAGTTACTACTTTACACCTCGTCTGTAGTTTACAGGCTCTGAGCGCAGGAACTGCCTACTGGCCCCTTTCAGCTACTGCACAGCGATCTGTTGAATGTAGCATGCCAGGTCTACTGCTGTTCTCTAGGGTCAGCCTTTGCCCTGTCCCCTTTCCTCATGAGCTGGACAGCTAAGAGACAACAGCACTTCTGCTGCTCCTTCTCTGTTAGCAGAAACATGTCATGGTGAAATCAGTAAGTTAGGTCAAACAGTTTCCTCGACCAGTGTGGAAAATTGCTTGTGGGCTAAACACAGCCTATGGGCTATATACCAGAGCTGCTCTGTCTGTGTCAGCTACATTAAAATAGTACCTAGAGACCCTACTGCATTACAAAGTTTATATGAGACTAAAAAAAGCAACTGCTCCAAGAGTTTCCAGCCTAGCTGGACAATATAGCAAAGAAGAAAAACACTGAAATATACTGCTCCTGCCATAGTCACTATGAATCTGGAACCAAAACTTTGGTAACATATAACAACTTCCACCCCCAAACTCTGGCTTTTTTTTTTTCAAGACATCTGAAGTCAGAGTGCCATTATGCTGGATGGTTGAGGGAATGGAAATATTCTTACAATAACAGTATTTACTAGCAAGTTCAGAACACTGAGATTCAATTAAGTGCATTCAATAGCTTTAATTTGCAACATTCTATAGCATACGTATACCACCTTCCTCACTGCAGAATAAGTCTGCAGTAGTCTACCAAAGCTTACTGTGAGACAAGGACTGCTATAGAATTCTGTAGTATACAACTTCTTTGTAAACATTGAAATCCTTCTTCCTGTACAAAGGTCTAAAAGTAACTACATCGGAATATAACAAGAAAGGTTTTCTTTTTTAAACAACCACCAAAAAAAAAAATAAATACCTATTTTTCCTCTTTTTCCATTTACTCCTGGTTCGCCCTTTTGTCCTGGTATACCTGGAAGTCCATCTGATCCATTGTAGCCAGGCAGTCCATCAAGTCCAGGAGGTCCTGAACAAACCAAACAGCGTAACTGAATGTTCACTGTTAAATGCAATTTATCCTTAAATCTACTGTATTTACATATATTATGTTTTTATGGATATATTCCTTAGACATACAAAATCCTCTAATTGGCCATTATGTTCTCCATGCCAATAGAGTATCCTCCTTAAAAACAAAACCAAACAAACAAAAGAAACACCAACAAAAAACCCGCTGTCAAACCAAACAACACAAACAAGACACACCCACCCACAACAAAAAAAAACCAAACAAACCTATGAAGCCAAACTCAAAGGTAAGATGCTTGTTTGCCCTGGTTTCAGCATAAGAAAACTGACTGAAATGAATACTGCACACATTTTGCATTAAGGCTAGCACGTATCAGTCTTTTTGATTCCACCTCAGGGACAAACACAGTGAAACCCATCCTATTTCTGAATTCGGCAGTGACTCTAACATCAACATACAAGCCACATAAGCTTTATTATTGATATGATATTGGTCAGACTAATCTAACACAAGAAAAGTGTTTACCTACTTGTCCAGAATACCGTAGTGCCAAACCATGACTGGTTGATACAGAAGCCATCACTCCCTCTTCCTCGGTATTTGAACCCCCACAAACAAAACGTACCCGATACTTTTCTGATACAGAGAATTTATCCTAAGCAGATCCACAGCTATACAATCACAGAAAGTAACCATTTGTATAGCCTAGCAACCACATGAGTAAGAACAGAAAGAGAGAATTAAATAAGAAAGGAGGACAAGTTATGGGGGAGGTGGGAGTGTGGAATCAGTAACCAACATTTTTTAAAGAGCTGTTTTTAGTGTTAAATTATAGTATCAGTTTACTCGGATTTTTTTATATATATATGTATACACACACACACACACACACTCATCTCTTCAGCTAAATGCTACTTAAACACCCTTAATTCCATCTGGTTTTGATTAAACATGTTTTAGCAAATGTGAAACTATTCTATTACCTCTACTAGAAAAGTATAATGTCTAAAATCTTCCCCTTCTCAGAAGGGGCACGAGTTGACCTAAATACAAAAATAATAAAGGCAGGCTGTCATTCAACCCTCCCTCGTTCTAATTAGCAAAGGAAGATTATTCTATAAAAGATACATTTCTATGTTTCAAGATTTTGTACCAGCGATTGTTTCAATTACCCCAAAACATTACTGCAATTGTCCAAGTATCTTACCTGGGGGACCTGGGGGGCCTACAACAAGAACAAGCAAAAGAACACAAGAAATAAGAAATGGTGAGTTTAACCTAGCAAGGAAACAAAAAGCAATTCCAAATTGAATTGATTAGGATTAGATCAGAACAGTAAAAGGGGAGAAAAGCACCTCAAATTTCAAAATGAACACCTATGGATTTAACTACTTTGTATTATAAGTAACTATTTGAGCATTAGCAGAAACTCAAACTTACTGAAAGAGTATCCTTAAAAGCAATTACATATACACATACGTTTTGCTTTTTGCAAATTTCAGTTGATAACGGTTTGACAACCAACCACCTCTACAATGTAATCTCACTGTCAGGGGCTTAGGTGCCTTTACAAATGCCATGGATGCAAGCCATCTAACAATCATTACGTTTCTTTTATGCAAGCGTTCTCCAAGATCCTGTTACAGTGGAAGAAGAATAGCTTTACAACACTGATGAATGTCACAATTAAAAATCCTGTTGAAAACACACATTAAAAATACATGGTACACTTCTGTGTTTTACAGATATTTCATTGCAGTTCAGGATTGAGACTATTTAAACAGGTGGAAAAAAAAAAAAAGCAGCCTTGTCATTCTTATTAACTACATCTAAGTCACAATCAGGCTTTTCACATGTAATTGTTCTACAGACAGGACCAAACTCCCCACAGAACCTGATCGGTGTATTAGAAATTGGACTTGCTTCAGTTACTCAGCAAGATATAATTCAAGAAAATCCGTCACTCTGACTTAGTTCTAGTATAGGGCCTTAATGAGAAGAAAGCACAGCAGGCAGGAGTAAAGCAAGAGTAAACCAGAAAATGCTTCTGTAACAAGATTTATCTTATGTGATCCCCAATACACATTTAAAAAACAAAACCAACAACAACCAACCAACCAACCAGGAAAAGCAGGTTAAAAGAATACAAAGAAAGGTGGTAGTTGCAATTAAAGAACCAAATTAGTTCTGTGAACATTTTCATCCAGCCAACAAAGTACTGTCTTGTTTCAACAAAACTCTCCACATCAGAAAATAACAGTAATTACTAGATTTCCCTAAAGATGACAATTTTCAGCATTAATTAGAAAGCATCGTGAGTAAAGTGAAAACCATTTTATAATATCATTACAGCAATTATCCCTTTTAATCAGTACAGGCAGTAACGTCAGTTAACGTCTTTCTGCCAGTTTTCCAGTAAATGACCATTTTTTTCCATGCTACAATGTTACATCCATTAGTGAGTTCAATTACTTCCTCATCTCAAAAACTGAGGATCTTGATTATTCTTGTATAAGCATAAGTTAAATAAGAAAGATGATTGAAAAGTAGCTAATGTCACAGAGGTCTGCAGCAGAGAAAGTCAGTAACAGAGACAAAATTTAATAGTGTCAAGAGAGGAGAAAGGTGTGGAAGGCACCAAGTAGGATGAATTCAGAAGTCTGCAGCCCAAAGAAACAAACTTTTAGGTTGTCTGTGGTTCAGCCTCAGTCGCAATCAGACCTGATCTACAATTTCAGAAGTAGTATTTAATATCTGTGCGTACTATGGCAATTCTTATTTATGTTCAAATCAGTTGAGCCAAACAGATCTTACAGCCCTTTGAAAATACAAACCAGACAGCAAGTGTTTTCTTAAACTTATAAAGTGGCTTTTTTCTAATCTCATTTCCAAAAAGAGCACACAACTCAGGGTGTTACAGACTTCAAAGCTGGACCATAGCCCTTAAATTGGCTGCTACCTGACATTCTCTTCACCAAATCACATAGCAACATCCCACATCTTCTCTTGTCCTAGCCATCAGCCGTTCCAGCTCCTCACTGGTAACATGTGAAACCCAACGTTCTGTTACCGTGGTCCAATGCAGGGGAGGCAAACACACTGCTCATCTAAGTTCCACCACTCCACAGCAGTTACAACAATGGAAGCGAGTTTCTACACCCTATATGTTCATCCCATGTTAGCCTTGAAGTGTGGGGACATACACAAAAATACCAAGACTAAACCTCAACTAGTATTTTGAACACCCGTCTGTAAGATTTGCTTATGAAAATTACATGGGAAAGAAGTAGCTCCAAGTAACATCAAGTGAGCTCCTTAAATTCCAGCATTTATAGTAAGTAGGTATAGGTAAGTCTCAAAGTAGCATCTATTATCTTTTTTAAAAATAAATAACCTAATTGATAGGTAAATTCTGATAGAGTAAATAGCATAGTTCTTAGATGTCGTCATTGACCTCAAGTTCTTTGAAAACACTGTAGTTCTGTATTCCTGAAGGTAACATAGGTGTAATGCTTAAGGCAATAAACATACCTGTTAAGCATATCCCTTTTGTGCTGTTACATAAATCCACCATCACTCGGACCTAATATTGCAAAGAAAGTAAAGTTGAAAACAATGTGTGCCATAGAAGTATCTAGTTTACTTTGCCTACAGAAATAATTCCAAAAATAAAGATACAACTGTCCACACTGTGCTTGTAAGAATAAACTATTTAGAACTACCTTAACATTTTGACACCATCCATCTCTTCAGGCAGTGATTCTCTCATAGGAATCTGTTCGATATACCTCATTTTAAATCTTACTGAATATATGAAGAAAATATTGGGCAGACAACTACATCATCTAGACATTCACACATTACTGTAAAACATGTGTGGTTATCCATGCATTGACTCTATCAGTGGAAAGTAGTAAAAGCCAGTATCAGCCAATAAAAATTACATTCAATTTTATCTTATGTTCACATCAAATGACGGATAATTTTCCAACATAGCATATTCAGTGAGAAAGGCGACCTATGTTCCAAGCAAGTGATTTCTTATCTTGGGATAACCAAGATCTGCAAATTTGGAATGGACCTTTGTCCATTCAAAATCCTTCATCCCAACAATGACAGGCTTTATAAAAACCAAGCTGGAACAGACATCCATACAGATGCTTTTGATCTAGAGTAGACTAAAATTTATCAATTAAAAAGTCATCTTTACAAAATACATCGGTTTTGGCTGGGCAAACATTCACATTACATGTCCTGCATGCTGAGTGTCAACGCTCCGAAATGTTTTGCAAGTCATCAAAACATCCAGCAGAAATGAGAATATTATGAACACGAGGACTGGAAGTGCCTCAACTCTTTACGGGAAAGCCTAATGTTTATAGTCAGAAAAAGACCATTATTTCAGGGTTGTGCAATATATGATAAATTTATAAACTATTTACCCAGAGTTGCACATTTATTCATCTTTGTACAATTACTCTACTTACAAATAACAGAATGCACTAGTCCCAAAAGACAGAACAAATAAATGCCAGTCAATCTGAAAGGCAGACTGATGTTTAAACCTAGCAAGGTTATTTGCCACTGTCAGTCTTTTTTTTTAAAATTAACGCATCATTAGCTTCAAGTGACAAATCTAACTGACTCAAATAAAGGACAATTATTTTAACGGCAAATTTTCTTTTGCTGCAAAATCAAACTATATTTGACTACGGATTTCAATTGTCAGACACATACTGAGAATTTACTGGATTCCAGACTGTACTGGAACAGCTTTTATATTCAGAAGTTTTAGACTCAATCTAAATTAGCCGAGAAGAGCTAACGAGTTTTGAATATTAGAATTTGCTTGTTCTCTTTCCCCTTGCACCCCTCAAAAACACTTGGCTTCTACCCTGTAATTTGTAAAATACAAGTTGTCTATGTGTGCTCTAATTCAAACTGCATTTTAATCCAAGTGGTTTTCATGAGGTTGCTGAAGTGATTACAACTCGCTTTGGGGCCCTCCAATTATCTCAGCAGCATTATTTTTACCAATCAGTGCAATTCAGCTGACAATTAAAACACATGGCACTCAAGAAGTAAGTGTGTTATAGCCAACAGCCTACAACAGAACCGCCAGCTTAACTAGGAAAGACGAGTACGTCAGCCACCCAATCACCCAGCACCACCTTTGCCAGGAAGAAAAGCTACAGATAAAAGTATCTTATTTAAATGCTAAAAGCTTAGTTTTCCTCATGAAGAAAGAGTGGAAAAAAAAAAAAAAAAAGAAAAAGACAACCTAAACTATGAGGTAACTCGTCAGTTGATCAGACATCCATAAGCCATCACCTACTGCACTATCTTAACATCGCACCTCCAAACTTACTGCTCACAAACTTACTGGACCATTGCCCTCTCCTCGGTCTTTCTACAGCAGCAGATTTGACAATTTCCTATTTTTATTCTCTTACAAACTAAATGTATATATTTATAAATACATAAATAAACAAATGAAAGGTCCAGAACCAAAAATATCCTCACCTTGTTAAAGATAAATTACGATTTTCGATGCCTAAAGTTATTTCAAAGATTCTTGCACAGTGAACCCCTGAGGAGCGGTTGTGCGGATAGCGACATTGATACCCGCAGTCCCAGCCTGCAGAAACCTGGGTCTCCACTGCAAGGGAGATCCTGCTCAGGCGAAACCTCCATCCAGAGCTCATGTCCAACAGAGGCAGGAACATGGGTCTGAGGCCCACCAATGCAGCAGGGGTCATCTCCCCAGCTGCAAGGAACTTCATCTCACACTACAAAAGTACCCAAGTCTTCATATTACATTAGTGGGAGTTAGATACAAAACACAAAAATGCAGGAGTGGGAGTCGGGGTGCTTGAAAGTTTTTCTAAGGACTTTTTTCCCCTTGAGCAAGTGGTTCTGCACACAGTTACACACTCTTCTGAGCAGCAGCCAGGATGAAAAATATTTGATGGAAATTTTGTAAGAACAAAAAGCCACTCGCCCCTCAGCAGCTCCCTGCAGGATACACACGTTTAAATGAAGCGCACTGCACACAGCAGTAGTGACAGCGGTGATTTAAATGGAGGAGCTGCACGAGTGAATAGTCCTGCCACATGCTGTTAAAGCATACACCGTGTCACTCACTGCTACTTGGCGAGGACAATAAAACTCATTTAATCTATACGTGCTACTTAATGACAGCAGAGTCACCTATTTAACTGCCACTCTCAAAATTATCTAGACAGCCAACCGCCACTAATGATTTAAGTCTGAGCACATAACAGTAAATGGCATTAATAGTGTTCAATCCCTGTCAGGATCTGAATCTTTTCTCTGATAATTTTATTTGTGGATCCCTTAGACTCAAAGGAGCAGTTCATATCAGATGGAACACAATGAGCTGTAGCTGCCAAAGACAGATGACTTCTTAGAAGAAACAGGAAAAAGTCTTGACTAAACGTTTGGATGAAAAGCTTAGATACAGTGCACAGAAATATTTCATTGAGGCAGCAAATCTTTTTACATTACCTGATCAAAAAAAAAAAAAAAAAACCTACAGAAAACATACTGGGTTTATCTGATTTTTTTTGGTGTATGTTTCTAGAAAGTCATTTAAAATTTTGAATCTGAAATAACCCCGCTCAAGTAACTTGAGAATTATGGTTTCAAAAATAATGCTTCACGTTCCACTTTAACCTAGAATAATGTTTAATTCTTTTTCTGAATTGACAAAGAGCTGATATGTGTATTATTGATGATATTTTTAAGACCATTTTGAGTACAAACCCACGTGATTTTAAGACTACAGAAAATTAAATGCTCCAGTAAGATGCACAGGGTCCAGTGAAAAACATCTGCTACTTTGTTAAGTGGAATTAGAAACTAGAATCAAATATCTAGTATCTTTCAGGTTTGCTACTCAATAAAAAGACATTCTTTGAATCGCAGAAGTCTTGTACTGCAAATTCTAAACTCAAAGCACAAGAACTTAAATGGCCTTAGCTAATAAATAAATATTTATTCTAAAACCCCAAACAACTACATTATCAAAACTCTACGCTATGAACACCTATGCTCTACCATCTCATCAGCTCTAATATCAATGGAGATGTTATTACCGTTAAAATCATCATTGCAATGGTTTAACAACAATGCCAGTGGAACGTTACTGAAAAGGTACTTTCTGTTAAGTAATTTTTTAAATCAGTAATATTAGTTAAATTAGTAAGAACTTGAGTTAGCCTTTTTTGGTTTTTTGTGGGCCTAGGCCTGCAATCATTACTGGGAAAGAATTTCCACTAAGATTCCTTCAATAGGAATAGTTTTCTTCCATTTCTTCTGACTCAGAACTTAAAAGCTTTTCAACCTATTCAAAGTTTTTCGGCTGTATGACCTGTATAATTTGTCAACTACATGACCTAGTTCCTACCGAGCAAGGATAATTTTTTCACTGAAGTGCAAAAAACTATGCAGTTTTGCCAGAGAAAGGACATACTGTTCTCTTCTGACCCATCAAATACTATCTTAAATTTAATGCTTACTGGAAGGGCGCTATCAATTTCAAAGAAACATGATGGCAAAGTAATGTCCAGTACGTCACGTTGAGATGCGGAACAGCAGAAAACACACGGTGGGTTCTGTTAGTGGTGCAGAGATTTAAAAATCTGAAACGTTGGAAACCTTAAGGTCGATTTTTTATTGTAACTACATTTTTGAAGTTTCGTTAGATCCACACTACCAACAAACAGCTTCACTCCGTCAGCTCCAAGGCCTGAGCGCTTACAGATGGCAGTAGGCAACTGCTGGTCCCTAGGCACTACACTCCCCAAGCACCGAGCAGGTACCGCTGCACAACCCGAACCCTGCAGCAGCACGAGTGGGCCACTCCTGGCGACGCAAACGAAAGCGTCGGCGGGCTCACGGGGCCG